TTCAATGACGTTTACATAGTTGAGAAGGATGCATGCTCATGTGGACTACTGATTAGGGTGGGAAGGTTGAGGGTTAGGAGAAAGTGGATGAGACCACTGTTTCTAAATTTCCTTTTCTTTCTTCCTGTATCTGGGGGAAAGAGGAAGAGGAAGAGAAAGGGAAAGCCATACCCAGCATCCTAACCATATCAGTACCTGGGGATAGGGGACAGCCACCTGATGTCATCCCAGGGTCCTGATATGAGCTTGCTCCAAAGGTTCTGCTCAAGTGGTTTCAATAGATCTGAAATGCTGTCAGTCTTGCCAATTGAAGAATGAGGAAATCCTTCCAAGGTCCATTAGCTGATAGAGTCTCCATTTGCACAGATATTTGCTGTCAATGCTTGGTTGGGGTAGTTGTCCAATTTGTTCTGCCCTCTATCCTCTACTGTGGTACTAGATGTCCTCTACAGGCTCCAACGGGCTGCCATATCTTCCACGTGCATCTGGCTATTCCATCCACTCCTCCATCACAGCCCCTGAGGAGGTCTGATCTGACACATGCACTCCACAGTCACACCACAGATTCTGCATTTTTCCCCATGGTTTAGAGTTCTGAGTCCAGTGATTCAGTTGAGGGGATCCCCCAAAAAATCTCATCTGAGGTGACCCCAGACCTGACTCTTGCATGTGCTTGCTCAGCCCATTGCCCACATTAGCCTACAGACACACTGGTGGTTGCAGTTGCTGGGTCAATTCTGTCTCCAGCCCCATCTCTTATGCAAACCAATGGATGCTGTGCCCTAGCCCAATCCTGCCCACATACGTTTAGTCCACCCATACATTAGCAGAAACTGAGCCCAGTTGGAGTGACACCCAGTAACTCCCACTAGGTCCACTCCCAGCCCTGTTTCCTGTGTTTGCCAGTATGTGCAGCAGACCGTCTGTCTGTCTGGGTCCAGTCTGTCCCACATCCCATTCAGCTCTCATACACATCAATGGGCATTGGAGCCTAGCTCAACCCAACCAACCCTATTATCCAGCCCATACTCATGCCAGCAGATGCCACCTCCTATCTAGCCAGGCCTGCCTCCAGCCCTGGTTTTCATGTTTACAAGTGAAGAGTTACAGCCCTTCAGAGAGGTGCCTACAATTTCCCTACTGGGCCCATTCCTGGCCTAGGATCTTGTACTTTCTAGTTGGTTCTACGGTCTAGTCTGACAAGTCTTATCCCTAGTCCCAGAACTTGCCAGCTGATGCTGCAGCAAAGCGCAGCCAGCCAGCCTGGCTCATGCATGTACCAGTTCATATGCTCACGTAGCCCAGCCTGGCTCAGTGTTTGGCTGGGGTAGTTGTCCAATTTATTCTGCCCTCCATTCTCTACTGTGGTGCTAGATGTCCTCTAAAGGCTCCAATGGACTAAGCTCACATGCAGGTCAACATGTAGGTCAACGAACCCAGCTCACATGTAGGTCAACAGGTGTTGTAGTCCTGCCTGGCCTGGTCTGTCCCCAGTCCCAGTTCACATGTTCACCTGTGGGAGCAATGGTCCAGTAGAGGAGTCCCTACAGTCCCCCTACCGGATTCACCCTGGGACTTACATGTGCTGGTAAGAGCTGTGCCTCACCTAGCATCCACCAGTGGGTTTTGCAGCCTGGCTCAGCCAGGACTGCTCCCAGTTCCAGTTCATGCTGGCATGTGATACAGCCTAGCCCATCCAGCCTCCAGTCCTGGCCCTAATTCAAACTGGCTGTTGTTGTAGCCCAACCCGGCCCATCCTGTATCCATCCTGGTTCTCAGATAGGCCAGTAGGTGTTACAAACTGGCCCAGGCTGGCCTGCCCCCAGACCTGAGCCACACGTATGCCAGGGGTACCCTAACCTGGCCTGGTCTGGACTATTCCCAGCCTTGCTTTTTGCTCTCACCTTCAGGGACTGCATCCTGACAAAGGTGTTCCCCAAGCTACTCTATCAGGTCTCCTTCCAGAGGCAGATTTCACGCACATCAGTGGATCCTTGGCCCAGGCTGACTTAGTCAACTCCTGTCCTGGCAGGAACAGTAACCTTGCCCAAGGGGCCCACATCCATTCCAGTTCTTACTGTTGGGTGCTACAGCCCAGCCATACCTGGTCCATGCCCAGACATAGCTCATACATGGTTTAGCATGTGCCAAGACCTAGTCTAGCCTATCCTATATCCTCCCTGGCTCTCACCAGAACCAGTGGGTGCTGGAGCCTAACCCAGTCTGGCATACTCTAAACCGAATCCACTCCCATGCCAAGGGATATTGCAGTCATGTCCTGGCCAGATCACTGCCCCCATTCCAGCTCCTGCACCAGTGGGAACTACAATCCAGCCAGGACATCCCCTTAGCTGCCCAACCAGGCCTGTTTCTAGCCACAGATCTTGCATGTGCCAGGAGTTGCTCTGACGCAGCCTGGCACTACCCATCCCCCATCTTTGCCTTTGCCCTCAGATGCTGCAGCCTGACCTGGCCTGGTCCACCGCTGGCCACAACTCTCACTGGTGAATGCTACAGCCTAGCCCTGTCTGATCTGCCCCAATTTCTGGCTCATGCAAACCAGTAGGTCTGATAGCCTAGTCCAGTATGACTCTCACTCCAGTCTGGCTCCTGCACGTGCCAGTGAGCAAAGGCTGGCCTGGCCCTGCCCATTTCGCCACCACCCAGAACCAACCCACACATGTGCCAACTGGTAGAGCTGCCTTGCCTGGCCTGCCCAACACCCAGGCCTGAATCACATGCCCACCAGTGGGAGCTACGGCCCAACAGGGAAGTTACCCTAGTTCTCGCACTAGGCCCACTCCCAGACCTGATCTCTCATGTGCTAACTGGTGCTAGGCCCTTACCTGGCATAACTTGTCCCCTCTGTTTCAGTGTTCATATGAGACAGTGGATTTTGTGGTCCAGCCCAGCCCACACCCTATTCTTGAGTGCTCTTGTAGATATTGCATAGGCTCCTGACTTTGGCCTGGTCAACTCTGGTGTTGTGGCCATGTGGGGAGTGAACCCATGGATGAAAGATTCTTGCTCATTCTCCCTTTTTGACTCTGCCTTTCAAATAAATCAAAATTTTTAAGGAAAAAAAAAGATTTGACAGGAAGTTGGAAAGCAAGGAGCAAAAGCACGTGGGATCTAAGAACAGCATGTGATGGAATAGCACAGTCAAGTCAGGAAATGACACACAGCTGCTCCCTGCTGAAAGACACAGTGTGAGGGAAGACAGTGGGCAGGAGGCAAGCATCCATCCCTGAGGGTCATGGGTTGGACACCAGAATTCATCTGATGAAGATAGGAAATCACAGGAGAGTGGTCCATTCAGTCCTACAAGACCAGTCCTTAGCCAGTAAACCCAAACACAGCCTCAGCACTCACGGCCCTTCGTGGGTGTGTGCAGACACACTGTAAAGCTATTCCTCTCTGCTCGGGGGCCGTGAGTCCCAGTTCTTGCTCACACATTCACTCCCCAAAGAATACAAGGCCTCCCCAAGAGCCTATTCTCCAGCAGCATCTTCACGTGCTTGGCTGAAAGTAGCAGCAGAGGGCAGAAGAGGCCCACAAATGCTTTGGAACATCTCTGTCGCATCCACACAGAAATAATCCTCAACCCTGTCTTTGCACAGTGCTCTTCCACAGGAACATGCATGAGGACACGGGGGTCTCACGGCCATGCGGATAACCCAGCAGTTGGGGGCTGGCCCTGAGACTGTCCATGTCACACAAGCCCCCAGGGCTAAGCAGTGATGCCTGCCTGCACAACACGCCTTGGGGAGATAGAAAAGCATTTTGTATATCATCTGGGGTAAAAGATTTTTTTAAATTGCCTATCTATCTCAAACCAGTGCTCCTAGAAAGCATAATAAAGATGATTTACATGGAAACACATGGGTAATTTAAGTTCCAACGGTGCATCCCTGGATTCAATAAACATGATGCTCCCTACCAAATGACTGGGGTCAGCTGAGTGAGCTCTCCCACCACCTGCTCCAAGCACAGAAACACAAAAAAAAATCATGGCAGTGTTGACTTCTCCTGCCCAGTTTATATGCACAAAGCGAGGAATAGATACCATTTAAAAAAAAAAAAGGCAAGAAATTTCTTTTTCCGCTTCATGAATATATCCTTTGCCAAAATGGAGCTGATGGGGCCATAAGCCCATAACATGCAGCACTCTGCTGCATCAGGTTGAACTGCTGCCTGTAATGCTGGGATCTCCTACCAGAGCACCAGTTGAAGCCCAGGATGCTCTGCTTCTGATCCAGCTCCCTGCTAATGAGCCTGGGAAAGCAGGGGAAAAATGACCCCAAGTGCTTAGGTCCTGCCATCCACAGAGAGACCCAGATGGAGTTCCAGTCTCCTGGCTTCAGTCTAGCTTAGCCCCTTTGCCACTCTGATTTCCAAAACAAACAATCAAACAAACCAGAAATTGTTCTTGTTATTTTAAATAAAGTTTAAGCAGGCCTGGCCCGGTAGCCTAGTAACTAAAGTCTTCGCCTTGCACCAGGATCCCATATGGGGTCGGTTCTAATCCCAGTCGCTCTGCTTCCATCCAGCTCCCTGCTTGAGGCCTGGGAAAGCAGTAGAGGGTGGCCCAAAAGCCTTGGAACCCTGCACCCTCGAGGGGAGACCCAGAAGAAGCTCCTGGCTCCTGGCTTCGGATTTGCTCAGCTCCAGTCATTATAGCCACTTGGGGAGTGAATCAGTGGATGGAAGATCTTCCTCTCTGTCTCTCTTTCTCCGTATACCTGTTTCTAATAAATATAAATAAATCTTTGAAAAAAGGATTTAAAATTTTGAGCTTAAAAGATACACTTTTTTTGTTGTTGCTCCTTTGTGTGTTACAGGTTTATCTTACCCTATTTCTAACTAGCACATAATGATTGTGCCAATGCATGGGGTACGATGCGATCTTTTGAGAAGTCACGTGTGAGAGAAACAAACCAAGCTCATTGGCAAATCTGTCACTGCAGCTGCAGGCGAGCACAGCCCCCACACACACCTACCTTGCCACTCTTCCTCGAAGATCTCCCAAACCTGAGAGCTGCCGCATCTCCAAGGTCTTTAAGGCAGAATTAGTTCCGTAGCTAATGTTGTCCCTGGCCCGGATCTGCTCCTGGAGTACCTGAGCAACACAAGACACCCAAGAGGGGGGAGCTCAGAATTCACTGCAGCCACAAACGCCAGAACAGAGCGCTTCACACATACCTCCACACAGAGGCTCCACTGTAAGTCATCTGACAAACCCACGTACAAAAAACTCAGGGTGCTGAGAGACAGGGAGAGAGCAGGGAGGGGAGGATAGAAGGGGAGACAGGGGGAGCAAGAGAGACAGGGAGGGAGGGAGAACACTCCCCAACCAAGCCTCTTAATTTACCAACTACACACACAGTTCATTTTTCTTTGTTGTTTCTTCCTTAACAATGAAGACTCCATTCCTCCCTTTTAAATGTATTTGAAAGACAGAGAGACAGCCCTTCCACGTGCTGGTTTACCACCAAATGGCTGTAATAGCTGGGGTTGGACCAGACTGAAGCCAGGAGCGCCCAACTCCGTTCACATCTGCCATGTGAGCGGCAGGGACCCCAGCACCAGAGCCCTTCCTGCAGACTCTCAAAGTGCACTAGGAGGAAGCTGCAATTGGAACCAGCAGACACTTGAACATGGGGACTGCACACATACATGATATGATATACGTATACCGCGCCAGGCCTGTCTTCTTATTTTTATATTTATTTTTTAGTTCCTTTTTACACTAAGAATATCTAGGTATCCAAAGAACTACTTAAAATTATGTTTTATTTTCAAGCAGTTTCGTTTTCTGGCATCAGATTATTTACTTACAAATGCATTTGCCTATGATAAAAACCATAGCCTATCAGAAATTTAATTTTTTAAATATGTTCACATTTGAGGCTTATGATTGATCCATTTTTTTGAAAATTTATTTATATGAAGGCCCAATGCAGTAGTCTAGCAACTAAAGTCCTCATTTTGCAAGCTCCAGGCTCCAAGCTCCAGTTCTAATCCCGGCACCCCCATTTCCCATCCAGCTCCCTGCTTGTGGCCTGGGAAAGCAGTTGAGGACGGCCCAAGGTCTTGGGACCCTGCACCCCTATGGGAGACCCTGAGGAAGCTCCAAGCTCCCGGCTTTGGCTCAGCTCAGCTCTGTCTACTGCGGCCACTTGGGGAGTGAATCATCAGATGGAAGATCTTCCTCTCTGTCTCTCCTTCTCTCTGTATATCTGACTTTCCAATAAAATGAAATAGATTTTATAAAAAAAATTTATTCATCTGAGAGGCAGAGAGAGAGGGACCCCATTTGCTGGTTCATTCCCCAAATGCCAAAAGGAGGAGCCAGTAGTGAGGTTCCCCATGTGGGTGGCAATGACCCAATGACTTCAGCCTGCCCCGCTGCCTCTCAGCATCTATACCAGCAGGAAGCTGGTGTCAGAAGCCAACGCCTGATATGGAACCCAAGCACGCCACTGTGGGCACCTCACTGCAATGAGAAACACCTGCCTGTGAATTTAATTCCTTAGACACACAAATATATGAATTTTTTGTCTGAGGAACAAAAGGGAAAATACTGCCTATTAGACTTTTCTCTTACTTTCTCTAGATCACATTTTCCTGAGTCTGTAAGACCTTTCCAGCTGCGATGGGGGGATTTTGAATTTGCAAAGCATAAAGAGTTCCACCAAGAGTTCTTGACATTTTAACACCTTTTATTTGATCTATTTAGTATCTGATCCATGTATTTGTTGCAACCCAATTTATGGTATATAGTGCTAGTTCTATTATATAACATTGCTTATCCTGTTAAGTGCTTTTAAGGTCAAGTTGTACCTTACCTGATACCAATACAGCTGTTGTTTTATCAATAATAAGGCGAAAGGGCTTTCATGGGGTTTTCATTGCCTTTACTGCCTTCCAATCCCAAATCAAGCACTCCAACCAAAACAGAGATGACGTTAACGCCAGGGAGTGCATTGTGGTGATGAAGTTAACGCCAGGGAGTGCATTGTGGTTCAAAGGAATCCGCCCCCCCCCTTCCCCGAGAAAACTTGTCCCCAGGATTTAGTCAATTACTCAGCAAAAATGAAAGCAGTCCAGCTCGACTTGATTTAGTGTGGAATGATCCAGTTATCATGAAAACAACCCAGTTTCTTCCACTAGATGATTCAAAAGAAAAAACAAAATCAGAAAAAGCTACTGACAACCATATTCATCATAGCTCCTGGCATATCCATTGACAAGTACACTGGAGTGAGCACCTGTGAGAGTAGCCTGGGAGAAGTGGAAGCTAGTTAGGGCTGAGCAGTGTGAACCCGTTCTCCTAACACCCCAGGGAGGTGATGCTCAATACACAGCCAACACTAGGAGCCTTGCTGAAACAGCACAACCGTTGGATGAACTTAGAAAGCAAAAAGGACCCGCCTGAGGACGCACTCAGCCAAACACCTGCCAGAGGACACTTTACAGAGAGCAAGTCAGGAGGCGTGGGCGATAGCTTGGGAGGGATTAACCGAGAATGGGGGTTCAGGTCACACGACCCTCTCTGCACCTCTTGAGGAATCTGTGAGATGTGCAGCCATTAGCTTTGAGAGCATTTTGTGTTTGCACTAACGTATAATTAGACACTCAGAAAAGCATAACTATTTTTGACCATTTATAAACCTTCAATAGTTTTGCAATCCTATTACTCTTGTTATTTTATACCTCAAATGGCCATATATTTTCAAGATATTTTTGTTATGCCCAGGAATCTGTTGTAGATTTTACTATTTAAAAAGTTGCATGCTTGAGCTGGCAGAAGCTGGCACTCGGGGCTAGTTCTGTCAAGTCAAACCACAGAACTACCTGGAGAGAGTATAATCTGGGAGTGGGAGAGGCCTGGGAGGGAAATAGTGGGCTCCTCCCTCTTGGGTTACCACTTCCACAGGAGGGCATAAAACTAGGACAGCAGCTGGGGTGGAATGGGGTGTGGGACAGACTGGACTACTGCTGCACATACTGGCAAACCAGGGTAGGGGGCGGGCCTGGTGGGGGTTGTTGCGGGTCGCTCCAACTAGGCTGCAGCTCCCACTGGTTTATGTGAGGGCCGAGTATGTGCTGGGCAGAACCAGGCTGGACTGCAACACCCATTGGTTCCAGTGGAACTTGGGGCTGGAAACAGAACCAACCCAGCAATTGCAACCACCAGCTGATCAGGGCGATGGACTGTGCCAGGCACTGTGCTTGCTAGTACATACAAGAATCTGGTTTGAGAAACCTCAAACAAAGTTTCTTTGGGGATCTCTCCAATCGAAATGCTGGACTCAGAACCCAAATCAAGAAAAGAGAGAAGACAGAACTGGTCAATCAATCATCTCAGCTATATGTTGGCAACGAAATACGGGGCAAACAGAGACTCTATGATGGACCATGTCAACCAGTGGATTTTTCAAAGACCTCATAGTGCTTGGAGTGGCAAGATTGGCAGCAGTTCTTAACTGTGGCAATATCAAAACCACTTGAGCAAGAACCTCGGAGCATACCCTACATCCGGGACCTGGGGAAGGTGGGAAATTGGGTGGGCCTTCTCCCTTAATACCCCCCTTTAAACATGAAGGAAACAATATGGAAATAATAGTCTTACCCACTTTCCTATAGCCCTTGAACCTTTTTACCCTAATTAAGTATGTAAAGATTGTCAAAAATATAATTTAAAAAATTATTTTTAAAAAAAAGTTGCATGCTTAAACAGTACATGTCACCAATTATATCCAGAAACAAGGAAATATAAACAGGGAAGGCAGCTTGTTTCCAGACAGTGTTATCCCGTTATGATTAACTCTGCATGGCAATACTGTAGACTTACTCTACACTGCAAACATGATTCATTTTTTGAAATAAATGCTTAACTAAAAATAAATAAGTAAATACTAAGACACAGCCCTGCTTGCTGTCTAATTTGGACACAGCCCTGTTCCCCGCATTTTGGGCACCTTGACTCAGTCAATCCTCGTAACACCCTTTGAGGGAGGTACTGTTATCCCCAAGCTCTCAACAGTTAAGTGTCTTGCTCTAAGTTCACAAATGCCAGAGCTGGGACTTGAACCCAGGGAAGCAGGCTCCAGTGACAAGTTCTCTCCCAGAACACTACAGGGCTCTGTCCCTCTATGCTATCCTTGCAGCTTATTTTATGTCGACAGTCGATTTTGCTCTTGGTCATCTTTGCGCCCTCTCCTTTTGCTCAGTCCAACCAGTTCGACCTTTTTCTTCCCTTCAGATCCTAGAGGAGGCGGGAGAGTTCGTCGTCATTCCATGAGCTCCACACATGTGCCTGACTGCTTCCGGCTCTGTTTTTGCTCAGCACCCTTCATACCTGCCCACATCACCCTTCAGTCTCAGGCGACTTATCTGGAAGAATTTGACTGTTTTCCCCTTTTGCCCTTCTCTCATCCCCAACCCCCAATTGCATTTGCTGAAACTACAGCAAGAATTCCGGATGGACTATTAATAAAAACGTGCTTGCACATTTCCTGCATTTCAATAGTTTTCCTTTCTTAACACTTTTGTCACGTAGCTCCAGGCATTGATCATTATACACTTCCATGAGATTCTACTGTCGTTTCTCTAAGGATCTCTGCATCCTTGTTTTTTTGGTTTTATTTTGTTGTTACTGCTAACTCGGAGCTGTGTCCAGATGCATTGCATTTTAGCTAGAGTTCTTTCTCTTGCATTTTCCTGGGACAGATACTTTGGAAGGAAGATCCTCTGAGTCTGCCATGAATGGGCAAGTGGGAAATGGGTAGAAGAAAGAATTAGCAAAAAAAAAAAAAAAAGACCTTTCCTCTCCTTAGCTCTGGCTAAGTCTGGGGCTTCTTCCTCTAGAAGTACCTTAGCTAATAGTGTCTACAAGCCTGGAAGATTTTTCTTTTCTCCATCTTTGGATGTGGTTTGTTCCTTCAAGGGCCATGTCCTGTAAGACTGGCTCCCGGAGGGGCAATATTGGGAGATACTGTGGGCCCACGGAGAGGGGCTTAGGTCAACGGGCGCGTGTGCTTGAATGGAACTGTAGAGCCTGCTGTCTAATCATGTGATCTCTCCCTCCTGACAGGTGCCACGTCCACCACAAGA